CTGACTATTATTTCAGACTCAGTATTTACATTCTTATATTCAAAGAAAATCAGTAATATCTTTAAAAACTACGAGTCCTTTTCTATCAGCTGTGCACCGTTATGGTGTAAATATAACCTATCTATGAATTAGATCAAATATAAAAGTCAGCCGAATTAATGTTGATACTGCAAGGAGACGTATTGTGTGAAGAGAAATTGAAGATGTTGTTTAATTGCTGATATATTTATGATCCACGCCACGTATTCAGTTTTGGCGGCATTTCTTCCAGTTTGTCCAGAAGTCTTCTAATAAGGGCTCTATAAATAGAGAACTACGGCAGATCTGTAATATGTAATGCAGCCGAACCGTGTATTACAATGCCGTTATGTGATGACTTTCAAAGAGAAAAGCAATTGTGACCTGCTCCATCGAAATCAGTCGCATTGACCCGAAGATACATTTTGAGTTGTCTACACTGCTGGAAAGAGGATATTCCTATCTTTCTAATGATATTAGGATTGTTTTTGTACTCCAAATATTAAGCGAAATATGTCACATTATATAATGACTGTCACAAGTCATCATTTTGAGAAAAAGGCCTTCAAAGTTTTCTCTTCTCTGGAATCCATCGATCTGATTGATTACTAGCGGAGCAAATGATCAAAGTAGTACGGAGGGAAGATATTTTCGTTTGGATTACTGGTCTGGGGGAAGCTCTTAAATGTGTATACGTGTGTGTGTGTTTGTGTAATTTTGCGTGTATTGTGTTTGTTTCCCGGGGAAAACCCTCACGAGAAACACCGGCTGTTGTTATGCCTGCTGTGACGTTAAGTTACTCCGTTCTCCGCTTGTAATTATGCCGTTACAAGCTTCAAAGCTGTATTTATCATCTGAATTTGCCGAAACAAGTTTAATATTCTAAAAACCAAGACTTTGTTTAATTCAAATCAGATGAAAACAAACTGTAACGGACTCTGCCGTGTTATCTATGATTACTATACGCGTACATTCATAATGTCAGCCGGAGGGAGGGGGGCGGCGCTGCGGAAGAGCAGATTGCGAGGGAGAGGTGCCTCTCTTCGTCCCTTTACAAGCTTCAAACATGTATTTATCGTGTGATTTTGGAAATAAAAGTTTCATATTCTATTTATTTAAAATCAAACAAAACACCTGAACCCCGAAAAAATAGTTTTTTACGCAAATCCACGTTTATTTTGAAATGAGCCGTTGCGACTTCCGACTGATTTCGATAGAGCGGGTCACAATTACTTTCGGAATAAAGTATATATATATATTTTTTTTGAATTTCACATCGCATAAACACCATATCCCAACGTACATTGCGGCTAAACAATCCAATCACCGAGCTTAAACCATAGCTGAGGATCTTGGGTAATCAGTTCAGTGGCTGTGTATCTGTTTCCGGTTATTTTATTTTGAAATTCAGTTCCTGACGGACGCCAAACAAGCCAGAGATTATAGAATTAAACAAATAAATAAAAACAAGGATTATTCTGCCTTTCGTATGCATCACACTGCATAGCTTAACAGATAGCGAACAAAGACTCAGAAGACAGTTGTTGAGTTGACCATTTACTGAGGCTTGAAATTGTAAAACTGCAAGAATAAACAGAAAAATGCAACATAATGCCAATAGAGTGCAGTATAATCAACAGCCTATGCTAAGAATGAGCTATGTCCATTAGCTTAGCAGCTAGTTAGCTTAGCTTATCTTAAACATTGAAACCACACAATCAATTAAACCACATTTTTGAAACACATAACTTGGCACACAGGTAAGTTAAAACTATCTGTGGTATAGAACTGAGCTACGATGTGCTCTGCATGGCTTTGCTGTGAAAACTAAAACACAAGAAGGAGAGTCGCGCTATTTGGTGCCTTAAAGCTACAGTACCGACTTTTGCCACTAGGGGGTGCCAATACACTATGTTGTCAGAACACTCCCCGCTTGGTAAACCTTTTTACCACTATTTACATCTCTTTACCCTTGGTATCAGTAACACCACATTGCTGATGGGCCTAAGATACTCTTTAGCTGTCCCTTGACCTAAGGTATTCACCATGACCTTTCGCACCTTGCAGTCCAAACTTGGAATGGCCTTTACTATCAGACCAAGAGGCCAGTCATTACGTTGTGCTTGAACGTCGTTTAACAAAACAACGTCACCGTCCTGGAGATGATGATGCTGCTCCTCGGTCCACTTCCTCCGAGGCTGAAGAGTTGCCAGATACTCCAGCTTCCACCGTTTCCAGAAGGAGTTCGCCAAGCTCTGGACCTGGCGCCACTGTACCTTACATAGGTGATCCAGTTCAAAGTCCCCCGGGGGTGTGGGTGTCACACTCGCTTTCTGGGTTAGAAGAGAAGCAGGTGAGAGTATCTCAGGAAGGTCTGTATCATAAGAGATGGGAACCAGAGGCCTGGCGTTCATGATGGCCATAACTTCAGCCTTCAAAGTGGCCAGGACTTCATGGGTCAGTTTATCCTTATTCTTCAACAGCAGTGCATCAAGGACCCGTCGAGCCACACCAATCATCCTTTCCCAAGCTCCACCCATATGTGAGGAATGAGGTGCATTAAATATCCATGTACAACCATGGTCTTGCAGATAGTCCTTGATCTCAGGATCGTCCGTGTTTATCTGAAGCTCTCTGCATGCTCCAATAAAGTTTGTGCCTCTGTCTGACCTGAGGTGTTTGACAGGTCCACGAATCGACAGGAAGCGCCTCAAGGCATTAATGAAACTTGAGGTGGACATGGTTTCAATTACCTCCAAGTGAACAGCTCTCGTACTGAGACATGTGAAAATGACTGCCCATCTTTTACTCTCAGCAGCACCACCTCTTGTGCGACGAGATATGACACTCCATGGACCAAAGACATCAAGCCCTACATGTGTAAAAGGTGGATCCATGGACAGTCTGTCAGCAGGCAGATCGGACATTTTCTGAACCTCAAACTTGCCTCTCAACTTCCTGCAGATGACACATTTGAATATTATACTCGAAATGAGCCTCTTCCCTACTACTATCTAGACACCGGCGGTGCGCAGTGCGCCCTCTGTTAAATGGCGACCTTAGTGAGCTGCTTGATCATGATAGTGTCGGACTAAGAGAGCGGTAACACGATGACTGGCTGGCAGGATGAGTGGATGTTTCTCTTGGTCTTCCAATTGGGCTTTATGGATGCGACCCCCAACTCTCAGCAATCCATCCTTGCCAAGAAATGGGCCCAGTTTCACAAGAGAGCTGTGGCTAGGAACATTAATGCCCTGAGTTGCGCAGTCCACCTCGTTCTTGTAAACATCCTGCTGCACTGCCTGGGGACTATTTTGTGGAAAGATTAGATTTTCCGTTTATCAGTTCTGTTTTGCCTTTATAACATTATTTCATATCAAGAACCCCTTGTGCGTTTATTTAACACAGCTATTGTTGATAGTTGATCGTTATAATAGGAAATACTTGTATTTAACCAACTATAATGCTTGTTTTAAAGGACATAGAAGGAAGTTATTATGTTTATAACAGTAACTACATGCACAGTTTGACCCTGGTCCGAACAATAATGCCCTGCAACTGGAGGTGGATGGGGCTGGATCATTTTATAGCAGGTGCTGATGAGTTCTGAAGCAACAAAGAATACCAAATAACATACTGGGTTACAGAAAGTGTTTCAATGATGCCAGGCTATTAGAGAAATTGCCTATTGAAATGCAAATTATTAAATGTTCAGAGCAAACAAATTGAATAACATACGTTTTGGAAGGTATAATGAAAGAAGGAGAACATTATGACAAACAACCAGAATCTCATAGTCACCTCAGATTGACTGAGTCAGTGACCACCTTTTGCCTTTAAAACTAAACCGCCAATATTTTCAGCAAATGTACACTTTCAATTAAGCCCAGTCCGATTCTATTAAGCAAAAGTTGGTCATTATTTTCCAGTGGAAAGACCTTTAAAACGATCTGTTGAAACATAACTCTCAGAGCTAGAGTCTTCTTTTTTACGTCATCATTACAAGCCTATGAGTACTAAATATTATCTTGGCACATGATCTGAAAATAGTGGCCTGGTGCGTTTCATAGTAATGGTGTGTTCCTAAGCCAGTTCATATCCGAATCAGAGACAACAGCTGCAGGAGCAGACAGATTGGTGAGAGCCAATTATCTTTTCTCCTTCCATCTCAGTCTCCCCTCTTCTATCTCTCACTTTTTAAACTGTAATTAGTTATCCGCAGCCAGCCCTGAAAGTATCGACTCAGAGAGAACTTCAATCACACTCAGTAATACATCCATATTTGTTATCAGCCCTGGACAGCTGAGCTAACAGAGCGGAACGTCACACCCTGATAGCAGCGCCTCACTTTTCTTTATCCTGCTATCACTCCCCGACTGATCACTCACCTGGAGCAGCATTGAAAAACACACAAACACATTTTTCTACTCTGTGTATATTTCTGTGAACAATATAACATGAAATGACAGAAAACAATCAGCTGGAGGTCTGGAGCCTTTACCGCCTCGTTCAGCTCATCTGGAGAAGTTGGTGGAGATCAAATCAGACGCAAAAGAAGAGTGAATGCTAGATTTACAGATATCATACAGATGCAAATACATCTCCAATGGGCTGATCATGTTGCTGTGTGTCTCCTAGATCAATACAACTTAAACTATAAGAACTTTCTAGTTTAGCCTAGCTTAGCATAATGATTTAGCACTGGCAAAAATGGTAACTACTACCGAAAGGGAGTGAAATACGACACCTACTCAAAAGCAGCTTTTTAAATAATGATATATTATTAGCTCCTACGCTGGTTGGCAATGCATTAAGAAACATCTTATTTTGGGAAATGTGTAAAGCTAACAGGAAATCTGACCACCTGTTTTCACCATTTCAAGCTGCTGTTGTGTCCACAAGCTAGGAAGGGTAGACCAGTCTAAATGCCAGTGATCAATTTGAAAGATGAATTTACTGTGTTTTTATTGTGTGTGTTCCAGTTGTCCTCGGCCCTGATGTTCGACGCGGTCCACGTGGTGGTGAGCGCCGTGCAGGAGCTGAACCGCAGTCAGGAGATCGGAGTGAGGCCGCTGAGCTGCACCTCTCCGCTCATCTGGCAGCACGGAACCAGCCTGATGAACTACCTGCGCATGGTGAACCACACACACACACACACACACACACACACACACACACACACACACACACACACACACACACACACACACACACACTCAAATCCTGCTGAGAACAGATGCTGGTAGTGTGTTGTTTGGTGTGTTAATCCAGTTTATGCAGTTTATAAATCCTCCCTGGTAAAAAACAAATTGTGCGTGTCAAATATTTGCAAAATGTAGATTCATCTCTGCATCAGATCCCATTTGTATAAATGATTTAATCAATACAAATCCAACCAAGACTATTCAAAGTTTTGCACATGATTTTAACGTTTTTGTAAATGTTACATTGCGTTATTTGGAGCAGTGTGTGCGGTCTGTATTTGGTTTGGGATAACTGAGAGCAAGTGTTCATACAGTGAGTGTAAGGGAAACTTCTGCAGCAATGGAGAGTCAGGACTCAGAGAGACACGAGGAGAGTTGGAGCTTTGATGTCAAACACGGATCTTTAATACAAGCATCGTCCGGAGAAATTCACATCACAAGTCACACAGCAAAAGGTTCTGACTGCACGGGTGGGTTGCCATGTCAAATCTGACCAGCCTCGCATCTTGGTAGACCTTTTAACTAGTTTACAGAGAGTCAAATCCACATATTGGGGATGGGCGTAAACACCTGGAGACACAGGAGATGTCTCTCACATCTGTGGTGCTTAGAAGCCAGCGTTCTCACAGTCGTAAAACCCCCCCTGTGCCCGCCAGGTCAGGCCATAAAACCTGGTAGTATCAACATACGACTGCATTATCACATTCCTTACGGGAGATTAGAAGCAGGGTTGGTCGTAAATGTCAACACACAGAATAGGTTAAATATCTAGGAGTAAAGACGGAAATATTCTTTGACAGTGAGGACATTAAAGCTGTGGAGGGTCTCTGAGCTCCTTTGAAAAAACATGGGTGAAAGAAATGTTGGTAAAACTGACTGGGGATGCATCGAATACTTGTAGTTGTATTTTTCTTATCTACTGCAGTACGGTCAATAAATATAAATGATAAATGTTTCTAGAAGTAGCTTCTATTGATGTGATGATAGATTTTCAGTTTGTTGTTTTGTTAGAGTAGCCAGAAGTTTGTCAGTTTGGAAGCACATTTTTAATATATATATAAAAGACTGTTATAGTTTGGGATAATGATGTCATGTTATCAGGAGTTGTGGCAAAAAAAGGTTTTCACTCTTTCAGCTTTCCTCCTAAAGAATCTAAAACCAGGTTCAGTCCTTTTCACCATATATATTTATTAGAGCTATTAAAGCTAATGGATCAAGTATGCTCATGCAATGCCAACTGTGAATGTTTGACATGAATCGCATGACCTTGCAATGGGAAAGAAAGCAAGAACATCTACAAGCTCCATATACTCACTGACTGGAGACCAGTGCCATCAGGAAGAAGCATCTCTACTTCCTGTAAGGGCAGGAACTGCACTAGAACTTCAGGTGTGGTGAAAACAGAGGAAAAACCTTTAGCTGGAGCACGCTGTAGCTTCCTGAAGAGTCCCAGCAGTGTGCGACAGAGGGCAGGAAACACAGCAGGAGCAGAGCGGCAGTATGTCAGCAGCAGAGAGGATATGCTCTGAAATCATCTTATAATGAAGAGTAATGACTTTTCTCACCAGTTTTTATGCATTTCTATATTTCAAACCTACACATGTATTGTTTTATCTCTATCTAATCATTGATCTCACTGATATTAATGCTTCCTTGAATGTTTTTCAGAAACAACCCTTAAATGTTCACTGTTTGTAGTGAATACCCCATTATTCCCACTCCTTATTAATCAGATAAACCAATCAGTTATAGTCTCTCTTCTTTCCTCTCCATCCCTCGTTCTCTTTCATTTCCATATTCATTTAATGTATTCTCTCTCTCCCCTCCCCCTGTCTCTGTCTGGCTGCCACATCTGGCTCCTTCCATCCACTGAGGCCCCCCCCTCATATTGTTTGTGTTGCTCTCATACTGTACGTGCACTCAATTTCACATTCCTCACATGGATTCAGGCACAAGCCTTACGTTTGAATGCATAAGGGTCTCACACACCTCACACACATTTGGACATTCCTGCAAACACACACGGCAGTGGCTCAGTCAGTATAGGGGCTTGGACTGGGAGCTGGGAACAGACAAGAGTGTGGACTGGTACTTGGAGAGGTCCCAGTTCACATCCAGGGCCCTGCCGTGGTGCCCTTGAGCAAGGCACCGGACAACGAATGAATACGTGGCTGCTATATTACTGCAAATCTACTCTAGCCATAGCGCACAGACAGTATAGTAATGGTTACTTGCAAATGGTCTCGAAAGCAGTCCTCTAACAGGACAAGGTAACACAGTTTATTCAAGATGTCCTTCACCAAGGAGTTGTTTATCCAACACAGCTAATAAGCTATTGGTTCTTTTTTTTGATTTTGACACGTTGGTTCGCTGTTCTATCAGGTACTATAAGGTCAACATGGTTACTGTTGGTTAGGGTGAAGTTACCTTTAGCATCAATAGTCTTACTCAGCCCTGAAAGCAAATATACTAATTGCAGCGGATTTCTCAGAAAATGCATCCATTTTAAATGAATGGCCATTATCTAGTTTAGGTTTTTGTTATGTTATTCAGTGCAGACTAGAGTAACCTGATCATCTGCACTTCAGTTTTTTTCACATCATACTTATACAACAGCTACGTGCCAAGTATACCCTAACTACATTTTGGGATGGATATATAGTCTTTGTGTTGTCAATATCTATGTTTAGTGAAAAACTACTGTATTTTAAAACAGGGTTTTCAAAGCCTCACCACACCATCATTTATGTGAAATGTTGCAGCTGGATCCATGCATGTGACTGTTAATCCACATATTATTCATGTTAAAAAACCTTCAGTTTTGAAAGCATTTGTCAGATTGTCATGTGTAGCTAACCGTTACCTCTTTGTGGTCCCTCTCTGTCCCCTCAGGTGGAGTACGATGGTCTGACGGGTCACATAGAGTTCAACAGCAAAGGCCAGAGGACCAATTACACCCTGAAGATCCTGGAGAAACACCCTGCGGGACATAAAGAGGTCAGAGGTCAAACGGGGTCGAGTGGGAGACAGACAGGTCAGAGGTTAGGTTAACTGATCTCCTCACATTTTGCACTTCAGTATTTTATTAGTTTGAAGGAGCAGGTCAGATCAATTTAACCTGTTAAGCCCCAAGGTCCTTAATATTTAAGAACCTATTAATGTGTTATACCAGATTGACGGGAATAATCTCAGCTAACTGACGATACAAACCATTTTTACCAAAACAAAACCCAAGACGCAGAACTCAAGATGAAGATACCCTTATTACTTATCGTAGCTGCACATACAAGATATCAGATTAAAGCTGAGGTTCCACAGATTATTTAGGTATATCATCACTGAGTGATCCGAACTCGAGACGGGGGAAGCAAACAGACATCACAACATGTACCTTTACGGAGCTTCTAGGGAGATCGTCATACCGTAGCTGTCAATCTGATCAAAAGACGTGTTCAATGGCATTACAACGAGAAAAAACGCGGCTGAATCGGTTGATCCATAGGTTGATAATGTTTCTGTGGATTTGAAAAAATTATTTATAATCCATAATTCCATTTGTATGTAAAAATCGGAGAGTAAAAGTTAGCTGAAGCCACCAGAGTTATCGCAGCTTCCGGTTTTGGCTATGCGTCAGTCTCACACACACACACATTACCAAATAAGTAGTATGTGGGAGTTCCCCTCGATTCCATTGGCTCTGACGGTTAGAAAGAGATGTCAATCAGCAAAATGGAGCAAGGGGGTCCATAGATAGGTCCAATCCACCCAAATGACCCAAAGCTAATTGAGAGCTAAATCTCTCTAAAAAGGTCACATTTCACTTGTTTTGCATCAATCTTGATAGAGGGTACTTATTATATGTTGTAGTTTGGATTCCTAAAGTTTGTAGTCTACCATCCCATCATTCAAGGGTGGTTTTCACTATAAGTAATTTTTTTTTTTGGACGGACACAATAATTTACATTTTTTTACTGTGTTCAATCTGAATTTACTTTAAAATAAAAACATCTATATTGATTCTGACATTTCTACATCCAACTCACAGGTTTATCATTACTTTGAGAAAAAAGATTATTAATGTAACCCTTTTAGAAGTGAAGATATGGTCATGTGTTCTGGGAATGTCGTTTTCGAGCCTGAAACCTGAAAAACAGGCTCAGGGTTTAACTTAAGAAGCAGGAAGCACTCCCAGAAGAACATACCTCAACACATGAATATGTTTTTCTAGGAATCCTCTTAGTTGGGATTGAGGTGTGTGAGAATCAAATCTCCTCCCTAATGTTCAGGTGTTACTGCCACTGGGCTTGTTCTGGCCATGGAGTCACAGTAAGCAGTTTTTCATTCATCCATCAGTAACATCCATACAGCAGACTCTGTCCTCGTGGCTCAGTGTTGCTGAGTGACCTGAGATGAACAGTAAGGGATCAAAGATCAATTGAGTTCACTCCTGGGTCAAATGGGCTCCCGGGCCAGGGTTCAGTGTGCTGTGAAGAGTGATGCACAGCTGGAAACCCAGGAGATGGAGATCTTTCTGTCTTTTAATATTATAATTTGCTGCTAACCAGCTGGGTTTGTCCAAAGGTAACTACATCTAAAGTTCACCGTTGAAATGGTTTATTCTGTACATCGTGCAGATATGAAGGGAAATGAATGAGCATCCAAACAAAGAACTGGTAGTCAGTTTCAAATAAAGGCAGTCCCCTCCTGTCTTGTTCGGTTCAAATCTGACCAAGAGAACTAAAGTAAGGGGGGAGAAACCAACTCAAACAGAAGGGTTAAGAATGTTGACCTTGCGGAAGATTGTTAAGGAACATCAATCACAAACCAACAAATAATAGAAGCATTTGGTAATCAGATAACAGCAAAAGTATTTCCATTGAGACACAAGTTGTATTTGGGTGGTTAAATGAAAGCCACGATAAACAGATGGTAAGGAGGGACATGATATGTGCCCCCCCCCCCCGGGTTGACGGCACATATCCCTCACAGCCAATAAGTACACAAACGGCCGGGAGGAGACGGATCCTCCCTCATTGATTCTGTTGAGTAAATCATCTGTCTCTTTCTTTCATAACACACCTTTATCAATCCTGTCTGCCATCGCTTTCTGACTTTCTCTCCACTTTCACTTATCATTTGTTTTTAGTTGTTTCCTTCTGGTTCTCTTCGTCATTCACCTCCGCCCAGAGGTGGGAGAAGTACTCAGATCTTGTACTTAAGTAAATGTACTCAGTTCTTGTACTTAAGTAGAAGTAGAAGTACTTAGATCTTGTACTTGAGTAAAAGTAGAAGTACCAGAGTGTAGGAATACTCTGTTAAAGTAAAAGTTCGCTTTCAAAATGTTCCTCAAGTGAAAGTAGAAAAGTATTCTCATCAAAATATAGTGAAAGTAGCGACAGTAAAAGTAGTCATTGTGCAGATTGGTCCATTTCAGAATAATATATATGATATGTTTTATAATGATTGATCATGAAAGTGTTCTCAAAGCTGGTAAAGGTGCAGCTAGTTTGAATGACTTTGTATACTGCAGGGTAGCTTGTGGATTTACTCCAAGTGGAACTAAAGTCTGATTTAACACTCGATTAGATTTCACATCATTCATCCAGAACTGCAAAGTAAGTCAAGTTAAAGTACACTATTTACGTCTGAATTGTAGTGGGTTAGAAGTACATAGTATCTCAAAATTGTGCTTGAGTACAGTACTTGAGTAAATGTTTTTAATTACTTTACACCACTTGCTCCATCTTTGTCCAAGATACATCTTGCATTTCCTTCATTGTCACCTCTTCTTTCTCCTCTTTCTCCTCTTTCTCCTCTTTCTCCTCCTCCTCCTCCTCCTCCTCCTCTCCTCCTCCTCCTCCTCCTCCTCCTCCTCCTCCTCCTCCTCCTCCTCCTCCTCCTCCTCCTCCTCCTCCCTCCTCCTCCTCAGATCGTACCCTGGTACTCCAACAACACGTTTACCATGAACTCCACTTCGCTGGACCTGAACGCCTCGGACACGTTGGTTAACAAGACGCTAATCGTGACTACAATAACTGGTAATCTGTCATAATGTAGAATTGATTTCACTGCATGAATGTTCCTCCTCCCTGAAGCAGCTGCTGATGATGTCACTTCCTCTGGTAGGAGAACCCGTACGTGATGCGGAGGTCCAACTACCAGGACTTCCAGGGAAACGACCAGTACGAGGGCTTCTGTGTGGACATGCTCCGAGAGCTGGCCGGCACCCTGAAGTTCTCCTTTAAGATCAAGCTGGTGGACGACGGGCTGTACGGGGCCCCGGAGCCCAACGGCAGCTGGACCGGCATGGTGGGGGAGCTGATCAACCGGGTGAGTGGGGGGGGGGGAACAATGTTTGAAAGAAGTGGAATAACTAACATATTTAGACAAGCTATCCACATTAAAAGTTTGTCCAGTTTTGATTGCAACTCCCTCTGAAAGGGAACACAGGGATTCTGAGATAAGTTCCTGTACAACTGGATGACAAAAGGAGCTGTCACCACACATTATAACACATTACCTTACCTGGATTTTCTGAGTTTGGGTTTTGCTGCATTATTATTAAAATAAAAAACTAACAGCAGAGAATACTTGAGAGACCTCTTTCTATACCACTTGTTTTAAATACAGACATTTATAGTGCATGGTTTGTGCATGGTTTGTGCATGGTTTAGCAGCGGGAGCGGTACTGCAGTCGCTTTACCGCACCGTTGTGACGAAAAGGGAGCTGAGCCAGAAGGCAAAGCTCTCTGTCTACCGGGCCATTTTCGTTCCTACCCTCACCTATGGTCATGAAGGATGGGTCATGACCGAAAGAACGAGATCGCGGATACAAGCGGCCGAGATGGGTTTTCTCCGCAGGGTGGCTGGTGTCTCCCTTAGGGATAAGGTGAGAAGTTCAGTCATCCGGGAGGGACTCGGAGTTGAACCGCTCCTCCTTCGCGTCGAAAGGAGCCAGTTGAGGTGGTTCGGGCACCTAGTTAGGATGCCACCTGGGCGCCTCCATAGGGAGGTGTTCCAGGCACGTCCAGCTGGGAGGAGACCAAGGGGTAGACCTAGGACCAGGTGGAGGGATTATATCTCTTCGCTGGCCTGGGAGCGCCTTGGGATCCCCCAGTCAGAGCTGGTTGATGTCGCCAGGGAAAAGAAAGTTTGGGGCTCTCTGCTGGAACTGATACCCCCGCGACCCGATCACGGATAAGCGGGAGAAGATGGATGGATGGATGGATGGTTTGGCTCGACTCGACCATAGACTGTATACAATATGGACGTAGGCTCTATGATGTCATCCACAGGTTTATGAAGTCCTGTTGTGAAGCACAAAGCACTGAAGCAGCAGAGCATGCAGAGCTGTCACTCAAGTGACCTCGCCCTTTGTTATGCATATACTTTATCCGTAACATAATTTAAACAGGTGGGTTGTATATAAGCATATTACAGTTGTTGTGAAAGATTATATAAAGAGGCTAAGACAATTGTTCACACCCTATAATCATATCAGAGTGGTGCAGGAATGAGTCCTAAACCATTTTAGAACTTCCTGTTCGATCATCGAAAATTCAACAGTTTTTTGGAAGTGCTTTTGGTTAGATGCCTGTAATAAGATCTGTGGTTAACTCAAGCAAACAAACGTTATGTTCTCCGTTCCGCACAGACCTGATTCTCATCACCTGCAGTGACCTATATTCTCTTTCTACACCGCGCTGTTACAAGTCAAAACAAAAAAAGGTAAATAGACTAATCAAAAGGTCATAGAAGAGCTCCAACACATCCTTTCAGAGAGGCCTTGGTTAGACCATACACTCCAGCACGTGCACTACACTCGGTGTCGGCCAATCCGCTTGCTGCTCTCTCATTGTGAGTGGGACCCTGGGCTGAAGTCGAATAGTCCATTTAGCTCAGGAAACTTCCTAACGGAGTGAAATGACCCGGAAGTCCCTCAGTGGCAGCCATGATAAGTGCCGTTCCAATTCTAGATAATAGGAAAGGAGGTTTCAAATTTCCTTTATAACCTCCTTTAGCTTAGGAACCACTGGACCTCCCTCACCGAAAGGAGAGGAGAAAATGCTGCCCCACAACGCCTTGCAGCCGCAGCATTTGCAGTCACACAACAGTCGGCCGTTCACGGAAACAACCGATTATGACCGAGAAATTATATCATGAACGGGCTTATTAAGCATTTTAAAACGTATGTGGTAAGTTGCCAAAGTGCTTTGTTTTGAACGTTCATCAGTATTATAATCAAAAAGAGAAATATGAACGTTAGTTTTTACTGAAATGATCAAATAAAGTCAACATCTCACTGAGCTGTGTGGGGTTTGTTCAACTTTTAAAAGATGTTTGAATGGTGATATACACAGTGATAGATGTTAAGGACTAACGTTTATAATAAATACATTTGTATTGATTTTAAGATATTTTCATAGTTACATTACATTACATTACATTACATTGCATTTAGCTGACGCTTTTATCCAAAGCGACTTACAATAAGTACTTTCGACCAGGAAGACACAACCTTGAAGAAAACAGAATCATATAAGTACATCAGGTTTCATAGAGCCAAACATTTCAAGTGCTACTCAACTGGCTATAGATAAGCCAGTCCTTTATTAGTATATAAGTGCTCTGTTAGCAGTTCTTTGTTAATAATTATATCGCTCGAAGTGGAGTCGAAAGAGATGAGTTTTCAGTCTGCACCGGAAGATGTGCAGGCTTTCTGCTGTCCTGATGTCAATGGGGAGCTCATTCCACCATTTTGGAGCCAGGATAGCAAACCCACGTGTTTTAGCGGATGGGAACTTGGGTCCCCCTCGCAGCGAGGGTGCAGCGAGTCGTTTGGCTGATGCAGAGCGTAGCGCACGCGTTGGGGTGTACAGTTTAACCATGTCCTGGATGTAGGAAGGGCCAGATCCATTCGCAGCATGGTATGCAAGTACCAGTGTCTTGAAGTGGATTCTAGCAGTTACTGGAAGCCAGTGAAGGCAGCGGAGGAGCGGAGTGGTGTGGGAAAATGTAGGAAGGTTGAAGACCAGACGAGCCGCTGCATTCTGGATGAGCTGCAGAGGTCGGATGGCACATGCAGGTAGACCAGCCAGGAGGGAGTTGCAGTAGTCTAGGCGTGAGGTGATGAGAGCCTGGACCAGAACCTGCGTCGCTTTCTGGGTCAGCTGGGGACGTATCTTCCTGATGTTGTAAAGCGTGTATCTGCAGCAACGGGTTGTCGCAGCGATGTTTGCAGTGAAGGACAGTTTGTTATCTAGGATCACACCCAGATTCCTTGCAGTCTGAGTCGGGGAAACAACAGAGGTGCCGATGTTGATTGTCAGGTCAAGAGTGGGACAATCTTTTCCCGGAAGGAAAAGCAGTTCAGTCTTGTCAAGGTTGAGCTTGAGGTGATGAGCAGACATCCACTGAGAGATGTCAGCTAGACAAGCAGAGATGCGTGCGACGACCTGGGTCTCTGAGCGGGGAAAGGACATAATTAATTGGGTGTCGTCAGCGTAGCAGTGGTATGAAAAACCATGCGGGCTAATGACTGATCGGGGCGAGTTTGTGTACAAGGAGAAGAGGAGGGGACTGAGAACAGAGCCCTGAGGGACCCCTGTAGTTTATTGACAAGGGTTGGACTCGGACCCTCTCCAAGTAACCCTGTAGGTGCGGTCTTTGAGGTATGAGGTGAGGAGGGAAAGTGCAGAGCCTGAAACTCCAAGTTCTTTGAGAGTGTGAAGGAGGATCTGATGGTTCACCGTGTCGAATGGAGCAGACAGGTCCAACAGGATGATGACAGAGGAGAGGGATGCTGCTTTGGCAGTGTGCAGTTCCTCAGTGACAGCGGGCAGTTTCTGTGGAGTGACCTGCCTTGAAACCAGACTGGTGTGGATCCAGAAGGTTGTTCTGATGGAGATAACAGGAGAGTTGTTTAAAGACAGCGCGTTCAAGTGTTTTAGACAGGAACGGGAGGAGAGAGACAGGCCTGTAGTTTATAACATCAGACGGGTTGAGAGTGGGTTTCTTTAGGAGAGGGTTTACTCTTGCCTCCTTAAGACTATTTGGAAAGTGACCAGAAGTTAGAGAAGTGTTGATGAAATGGGTGAGAAACGGTAGAATATCAGGAGCGATAGTCTGAAGGAGGTTTGAAGGGATAGGGTCCAGAGGACAGGTGGTAGGGCGGCAGAGGTAATGAGGGTTAGAACCTCACTTGGAGAGAGAGGGGAAAAGGAGGTCAGTGTGTTGGTGGAAGGAGGGTCTGGTGATCCAGCGGTGAGTAAAGGTGAGTCAGAAAAAGAAGAGCGAATATCATCAACCTTTTTTTCAAAGTGGTTAACAAAGTCGCTTGACAGAAGTGAGGAGGGGGGAGGGGCTTTGGGTGGGTCCAAGAGGGTGGAGAAGATGGAAAATAGTTTTTTGGGATTGGAATAGGAAGATTGGATCTTATCTTGAAAGAAAGTGCTTTTTGCCTGAGAGATTGAAGCAGAGAAAGAGGAGAGGAGAGCCTGATAGGTTAGGAGGTCGTCTTGGTGTTTGGATTTCCACCGTTTCCGCTCTGCTGCCCGAAGGACGGTTCTATTAGCACGCAGTGCATCATTTAGCCAGGGAGCAGGAGGGGACTGACGAGCCTGCCGAGATGTGAGAGGACAGAGAGAGTCCAGAGACGATGAGAGAGTAGAGAGGAGAGTTTCTGCAGCAGAGTTTGGAGGTAGGAGTTGGAACGAGTCAGAGGAAGGGAGGGCTGAGAGCACCGACGAGGCAAAGGTAGAGGGGGAGAGGGAACGAAGGTTACAGTGGACAGGTGCAGGATGAGAAGAGATTAGTTTGTTATGTTTGGAAAGGGGTAGAGAGAATGAAATGAAGAAGTGATCAGATGTTTGGAGCGGGTTTACAGAGAGGTTAGAAGTAGTGCAGTTCCTTGAGAATATGAGATCAAGGACTTTGCCAGCTTTATGAGTTGGTGGGGATGGAGACAGTGAGAAAGCAAAGGTGGTTAACAGAGATGTTAGTTCGTCTATCTTCCCTGTCTGGAGGTTGAAGTCTCCGAGAAATACAGCGAGAGGACCAGTTTCAGGGATGTGTGAGAGGAGATGATCTAATTCCTCCAAGAAGTCTCCCAAGGCGCCTGGTGGACGGTAGAGAACAACAATGGTTAATTGTATAGGATGGGTTACTGTGACGGCATGGAATTCAAAGGTGGAAGGAGTGAAGTTAGGTAGCTTGAAGAGGGAAAAGCTCCATTTGGGAGAGAGCAGGAGACCAGTGCCACCTCCTCTGCCAGTGGGTCTGGGTGTATGGGAGAAGGAATATGCTGTGGAGAGAGCTGCTGGGGTGGATGTGTTGGATGGAGTAATCCAGGTCTCAGTGAGAGCAAGGAAATCCAGGGTCTGCAGGGAGGCGTAGCCAGAGATGAAGTCAGCCTTAGGAACAGCTGACTGGCAATTCCACAGGCCACCTGAAACTAGATG